CATAATAAAGCCCGCTATGCTATGTATCGGTGTAAATCATAAAATTACATGACTATCACATGCTGAGTAACAAATATAAATATACGTGCGTACATAGATTAGATTACTGGACCATTCTCAATTAACGATGATAGTTCACGCAGACATCCCTTACTTATCGTCGTCTCATCCTCAACAGACGCTTGATCTTTATATTCCTACATTAACTTCGCACGATACCGATACTAAATTGCCCACACCAATTATCATCTTGATTCACGGAGGTGCCTGGATCACGGGTGACAAAAAAGAACTTGAACCTCTAGGAAAATCCATTTCATCTGTGACGAATTTCGCTGTTGCGCTAATAAACTATAGGTTAAGTAAAACTCCTGAAATCAAGCATCCAGTGCACATAAAAGATGTGGCTGCCGCTATATCTTGGATTTATTCAAATGGTGATAAATATGGATATCTGGGTGATAAGATGTTCTTAATTGGACATAGTGTTGGTGCATTTCTATCAGCTCAACTTGTATTCATTCCTAAATATCTCGATGGTATTAAGGAATTACCGAATTCAATTTGTGGCATTGTTGGTATCGAAGGTATTTACGATGTACCATCGTTATTAGAATGTTGGCCTACTTATACAAAATTTGTTGAACCGGCGTTTGGAACTGATCCTGAAGTTTACAAATCTGTGTCTCCACAATATCATTCAATCAAAGATACGGTTATTAAGATACCACCTTATCTGATTATTCATTCTTCAGAAGATGAGTTAGTTGATATTGGACAGGCTAATAATTTTTATAAATATCTTGAACAAGAATGTAAAATAAACGAATGTTGTGCGCAACTTGAAATTGGAATAAAAGGAACTCACTTTGGAATTTTGGAAAAACCAGAACTTGAGCAGAAAATTGTGGAATTTATTTTGTTACAAGGAATGAAATTTCTCCCTTCAAAATGATATTTTTTTCATCTTTCTTGTTTTATATAAAATTAAAACAATATTAAGAGCAAAATTGGTTTAAAAGTAGAATTCTTCCGAAGATTAGATTTCCAATAAAGATGCAGGCGTACTGCGACTTTCATAGTATTGCTTGGGCAGTATATAACTGATAAATCGTAAGCATATTATAATATATAGTAATATATTTCTAGGTTATAGCGTTTGTAACATGTTTATTACATGAATTAGTGTATATGTTGTAGGTGGATTTAGAATTCTGTGAATTCGGAATGCACTTAAGTGGATTTCGAATCCGAAAACAACTTATGTCGATTACAGATCTTAAAAATATCATAAATCATACGTATTTAAAAAAATTGTACTGTATATTGAAAAAGTTTTCAAGTTAAAATGTCAATCCAAGAATATTTTTTTAAGACAAGTTTTTAGCGAATTGGTTAATAAGTTTTGAAAAAAAAATCGCTATATGCAAAACTTTTATTTTACACCTGATTATGAACTTATTATTACAGTACTACATGATCCTACTAATACAAATTTGGGGCCTCCAAAAGGTCGATGTTTGGAATAAAAATTCTTTCAATTACGGGAGTTGAGAAATGCTATTTAATGACTACGTATGTGTTGCAATTCGAAAATGGATTATAAGTTATTTTCCGGTCTACTTTATCTTGCAAAATAATCAAGAAATTGTCAAAGTGATGTAAAATGGAATACTTGGTAATGCCTATTGGAATACTATAAATTAGTAAAATTACACCACTGGGCCAAGAGAATATGGAAAGCTTGAAGTTGATCAAGACAAATTATTAATGTACGAAAAACCGCAAGAATGTGGTCTGTTTCTACTATAACCGGCATAAAATGTGATTGTAAGATGAATGAAAAAAATA